TCTCTCTCTCTCTCTTAGTTATTTTAATTTGTAAAACCCACAACTCATCTGCATTAACCTTCACACCTTAATAGAACGAGCATGCGCACTCTCAGTTTGTCAACGTGGAGAATTGCTACGTGCCCATCTTTAAAAGTTGTATAAATAAGAAGAAAGGGACAAAGAGCGTCGCAGTTGCCATTTCTTCTTGCACTCTGCAACACATTCGACAAGAAAAGAGATCCTCTTGAAGATGACAAGACAAGAAGGCGTGGCCGTACTTCTGATCATCGCTTTGACAACGGTGACACCCGTTACTGGCGCGGGTCCCATCCCCCTTACTCCGGAGGAAGAGGCGCAAAGAGACGATGCTGCGGCTGATATGGCTAACCTTCCAGCCGAGGATCATGTGGTACTGCCCCCCGGTCCAATACGTAAGTTACATTTTTTACTGAAATGCAAAAGTGACTGAAGATGAAAACGAAGATTAATCATTGATGACTTTAACCTAGGTGTTGGCAAGAATGTATTTCTGCTGCAGCTATTGACTAGTTTGGTCATCTAACGCTACTGTACTACAGATATTTGATATGAAGTTTTAGGTTAAGATTTTAGGTTCTCAAAAGCGTGTTTTATGTAAAATTTGTAAATCTGTATTTGTCGTAACGAAACAAGTCAAACATGTTGCCGATAATTTATATATAATGAAGGAAAGAAACTTAATCAAAGATAAAATTCTTCAGGAAATCAGAATTGTGTACATCAAAAGGTTTTTTGTGTAGAAATATAACCAATATATTCTGTTTTCTGTATTACTTGGGTTAATAATATTTTTTGTAAAATTAGACAGATATTACATAAAGTAAGTTTTTCAGCCCACACATTAATGAGAGAAAACGGGAGACACTGATACACTCCGAAATTCAGTATGAGACATTGCACAGTTAATGTTGCACAGAGATTTTAGGTGAATTTCATTCTATATTGACGCGTCCTTGGTATTCCGATTTAGAGAGTTATCTGCACTATTAGATGTCACCTTCAGTATACAAATTGACAAAATTGTCGCTTCAATCTTGAAAATATAGGTAGAGAGTGAATTCTCATGCGTTTTCTATAATGATGGGGAGTTAGCGAAAATGGACCAGCAGAGGGCTAAGTGGTATGATAAACAGGATACATAGTTTAAAAGGTTTTGTATTTAGTACTTTTGAACAGCTGTTATCACGCATATCACTAACTACTGGTACTGTGTCACTCTATGGGGGTGTAAGTCATTCCCAGCTATAGATAAAATACAAGCACGACCTATTGGGTATAATATGGGGGTACACAGATTTACACCAATAATAGCACTTTACTAATCTAATACTAGAATAGATTAATAACCATGGATACGATAGGGCTACCAAGAGACTGTTTGATTACATAGACACAGAGCTGGTACATGGAAAATGATCCAATTATACAGTGCTATGGAAAAAAAACAATATGCTGAAAACGCCAACGCTAAGAACATATACGCTTTTCGAAAAGCGCCTTTGTTGTGAGTGACATGTTAGGCTGTCTATGGGTAAGACATTAAGATCAGTACTATGCCAATTTAAATGCGGAATGCTGCCGCTGAAGCTTCGTCCCGCCTTTGCAAATTGTGTGATAAGAACATGGTTGAAGATGAGATTCATTTCGTATTGGTATGTTCCTATGTCCCCTATACGTGGACATGACATATTTTAATACTAGACCTTTCAGCCGCCTTCGATACTGTTGATCACAGTACATTATTAACTTTTCTTGAGGATTGTGTTGGTGTCAGGGATAAAGCCATTGCGTTTCTTCGATCATACCTTATTGGGAGGTCACAGCAAATTTCAGTAAATGGCATTCTTTCCGATCTTTCACAACTTGTTTTTGGGGTGCCTCAAGGCAGTGCCCTTGGGCCACTTTTCTTTTGCATTTATACCCTGCCACTTGGTGCCATCTTACGTCATCACAAACTTGGATACCACATGTATGCTGACGATACTCAGATCTAAACCTGCTGTGACATACAAAATCCTAAACCATCTATGGATAAAATTACCAACTGTGTGGCTGATATTAGTGTAAGATCCCACGGATCTTAAGTGAAAACAATAAAGTCTTGATTAATATTCTGTATGTTTATTTTAGTAACCAGCATCAGAAACGCATGTACTTGTAGTCCAATGGTTCTGACTAAAACGAAAACAAAAAAAAAAAAACAAACATAAATAAGTCTTCTTAAATAAAACAGAGTGTTACAAACAATTTTAAACTGCATTAAGAATATTAAACTTACTTATACAGTACAACAGAGCAATCATAAAAACTCACATTGCTGGCTTTCGTGGATGTCAATTATTCCCTTTTATCCTGGAAAGCTGAATTTCCTCTACAAAATCACTGAACATCTAAGTAACTTGACGTTATTACACTATGTGGTGTCTGAACTATCATAAATGCACAAAGGAGTGTCGCAAAAAATGACTATTCCTACGGAATGCCTACTACAAAAACAGCCATGCTGTTGAAGTGTCAATCAATTTTCTTCGCAATTCTACCTCCTCACATAAAAGATCACGCAAATGGGCCGCTTAAGTTTACATTAATCAAAATAAACAAGAAATCGGTCATCCGATTCTTACAATTAGCGTCTGGCTCATCAATAACAAACTGAAAATAAACGACGGAAAGACTGAGTTTTTATTAATCACGCAGCCACATAACAAGCAACTTGCTCAAAATCTTCAACTTGAATTACCAGTAGGCACCAGTGTTGTGAACCCAATACCACACGTGAAAAACCTGGGTGTCTACTTTGACTCCACTCTCTCCATGGACAGACAAATATCAAATATCACTCAATCGTGTATTTTTAACATTAGAAACATCGGTGCTATTAGAAACTATCTGGATCAATCTTCTGCAGCAACAGTTATTCATGCTATGATCACTAGGTGCATTTCGCTGAGTGTTTACAAGATCTAGCGACACATTTTATCCCCTTAGTTTGATTAGTTTAGAAAATTAAACAGTTACTCTGGCGGCTCTCCGTCATTGCTATGAATCTGACATCGAATTAAGTCCAAAATATTAGTAAATTCAGAATTATTAGCTAAAACGTAAATTGCCCTAATTTGTCACACGGAAGGTACGCTTTCCTGAAGGTAGCGGCGACGAACGGCGACGATATTTTTCTGAATAGTGAACCTTTATTAATTACGAAAAGCCCCCTTTTCAACAGGCGCGTTTTATTAATTACTTCATGTCACAAAGTTAATTTATACAGGCAAAACTTTATTCAAGGAAATAGTTTCACGAAATGAACGAGAGTAAAATATAAGTCATACAACAATGAGTCATGTTATGGATCATGTTATGGGCCATGTCGGATTATATAGGCATACCTTGATGCAAAACAGTCTATCGTTTCTTCCACCCCGAGTCCCTTTATTTAATGTAATGTATTACTCATTACCCGTTTCATTTGACACTCTCTCTTTTTATCTCCCTTCCCCTTTCTCTTGTTAGAAGGAGGGTAAATAATTAAGCACTCAAAATCTGCAC